CCCAGACGGAAGCCCAGAGGACAGATGGTGGGTTCAGACGCAGAATGACACACCGTAACCAAGCGATTACACACTCAATGACTCCCCCTGAAGAGAGAGAGGGGGCCAGGAGGGAGAAGATGGGGAGGAAAAGAAGTGGGGAAGAGTGATAGAGGAAGAAGATGGGGAGAGAGAAAGAGGCCAGAAGGGTGCGAGCAGATCAATGCATGGGAAATGTGGGATATCTGAGGAGAGGAGAAGAGGAAGGGTGTCGAGTTTTCCATTTACAGAGGAAAATGTGTAGACATAAAAACTGGGAAGTGAATGATGAAGAGGAGAAGAAGATAAAAGAATAAAACAAGTTGAAATGAACGATGAAAATGGGGAAGGTGGGGGGTGTCTGGAGAAGTGGGGTAAAGGGCCCTGCACCATTAGTGAGGCAGACGAAGAGGTGGCGAGCGGGAGTAATGGGTGGATAGAAAAACAGAGGTCTTTGGGGATACCGGATTACATGATAGCCAATTAGAGTGAAGGATGTTGGAAAGTCCCCTGATGAAACTGATATGTGATTGGCTCAGGGTTTATTATGCTCACTGAGGTATTGTTTCCTCTTTAACACACCCAGATGCACACATACACAACCACTGGTCAGGTGTGGTATTCTTAAACTGGTGGTGTTTTTTGGCACATGATATTGTGTTGTTGTGAATCTGACCTGTTTTATTTCCTGTGTCTTATTGCGTCATTGTTTGTGTTTATCATGTGATTTCCTGTAAACCTTCATCACAGTTTCCCAAAGATTTGCTGGTATTTAGCTGTTAATTACTTGGAAACTTCCAAGAAAAGCTATTTAGCAGTAATGATAAATGAGAAAGTGTTGGCTAGTTGCTACAGTTATTAAGCACCTGCTTTGTTATATTATAGCTTTAATAAAAAAATAAACTGAAATCATGTAGCATGTAAGACACAGTTTCTAAACAGAAGTCTGACTTTCTTAGAAACATTTTTACATTAGTTTTTTTCCTTACTTTGAACTGTCACATGCCATCTTGGTAAATAAATACTCATTTATAAATATTCATTTAACTGACATTCCTACTGCAGACTAGTTTCATTGCATCTACCTGTAGGTGTCAGCCGCACTGGAAATTCCTTAATTTTATGTTAAACTGTGTGTAAAAAAACAATGTGCTATAAAATTTCCCTGACATACTTCGATTTGTTTATTTACTATTTTTCATTTACCTATATAATTTTCTAGGGTTTTTTTTTTTAGCTGAACATGTTGAGCAGGTACATAATAGTACCAGACTGTGTGTAAGCCTTTCTAGGAAACATATTTAACAACTAAATAAGTTTCCACAAAGTTACAGCAAATTTAATTCAATGAAGTGCTGCCTAACAATGTCACAACTTGTGTAATGACTGCTCATGAGGATGTCAGCTGATTTTTCAGACTGTAACCTCTACCTACAAAAACACTGTTTACAGCAAGGGGGTAAACCAAAACTGACACACACACACACACACACACACACACACCACCACTGGAGTCAAGCCTGGCCCAGGTCAGGTCAAGTAGGATCATGGGAAACCATTCCTGTGGCCCTTCTCACCTTTTTCATCTTGGAGCGTCTCAAAAACATCCCAGACATGGTGCTCTGTCCTCACCTTCTCTCCCTCTCTGTCTGCACACAGACACACTCCAACACTCACCTCGGTCCTTCCTCCCTCCCCAACTCTAAAGCAACAGTAGCTTCAGCGGAAATTGTCATGATACTGTGCAGCAACTCCTTTAAATGGCTAAAATAATCAAGTAGAGTAAGTTTTTTTCAAGACTCAATTTCCCATGGCAAAACTAAAACATCTAGCCAACTAGAGAAGAACTACAAACATCAATATACTATGCTTAACTTAACTTATCCATTTAAAGGTGGCTTATTAGCTATAGTATTCCCATCTTAAAACAGTTTTCAACTAAACTGAGCTTAGTTTTAACCCATATGGACGTTTCCAACCTAAGAAATAGCCACAGTACTTCTTTATAAATTTTGGCAGAAGCAGTAATGACAAGGCCTTTCCCTTCTTTCATCCTGCTGCACAACCTCTGTGAATGTGTAATTCCAGCCCCATGTGGCCTTGTGAAGCTGAGCTATTTACAGACTGAGGGATTAGGAAGATAGCTCTTATTAAAACTGAGTCCTCATCATTTGACTGTCATTTTGTTTAATCATTACTAAATAGACTCATTAAGTTCCTCCTCTAAAGTGTTTCCCTTCAAACTCTGTGGCTTTGATACGTTGCACACACACACACACACACACACACACACACACATACACATTCAAATATATAGACACAGTACTTTGACCCGGTCTACTGAAGAGACTTTTATCAAATGTAATTTATCAGCTTTATAATACGACCAGGATTTGTGATACAGTTTGTTCTCCATGAAGGATTAGTTGTGTCTGTGTGTGTGTAGAGTGTTGTACTAGGGCGCTGTACTGAAAGGGCATGTTCCTTTGGTGTGCAACCACAGATTTATGAAATATGTTTTTTCCCAAACCTTTAATAAATTGAATGTTACACCCCAGAGAGCAACAGTACGTGCCACCGTTTTTGGCTGTCATATTTATGCAACCTAAGAATGGCTTGTTTACATGTTTTTTAATTTAATGATCAAATGAAGTCCAGGACAGACTCGTGACTTTTAAATAACTGGTCTTGAAGTCAATGACTCAAGTGAAGTTCTTGAAAGTTATCTTTTTATGTCAAAACATTTGTGATGTCCAGCTCAGCGAGTGGTTCTGTGCGACTAACAGTCGGGTGATCAATCAAGAGTGAAATATCTCAGCTGCTACAGGAAGGATTGTTTCAGAGAAAACTGCAAATGTCTTATATTGATCACCATATAATACAGAAATGATGAGGCAACTTACAGTATGAGGAATATTGAAGCATCCATAACAGTTGTTTTTACAGCAGTACAAGGCTTTAGTCCATCGATCCCATCGGTCACATGACCATCACCCTGCAGATTGCAGCCTTGTCAGTCCTGAGTGTCATGATAAACCTGCCAAAAATCACTCTGTGTAGGTTGCAGCCTTGTCAGTCCTGAGTGTCATGATAAACCTGCCAAAAATCACTCTGTGTATGTTAGCTAGTGGTTAGTGACGTTCTTGGCTCCCAGAGGATGAATCCTGATGACTCTGGTGATCCTGACTTTTCATCTAGATCCACTATGAGCTCAACATTTGTGGTTTTTAATTAAATATGTCAATAAAGAAAGTGAAGGTTCGTCACGCCCTGTTGAATGTTGGGATGAGGGCACCATTTCTTGAGGTAGGCGTTGTACTTACCTGCATACATTCTTGTTTTGTTTGGCTAAAAAGTTGCTTAAATCGTTTAGATATCACTTTACTGACTGTGGTAATTCAAGATGGATAACCTTAGCTGACCGTAGCTAACTCGTAGCAGACCTATAGATCTCATCTATGAGAGGACAGACTGAAAAATGACTGCACACTGATCTGAGCTCTTGATTCAGGAGCTAACGGTAGATAGCAGCTGCTGGCAGATGACACAAACACGGTAGATGAATCTATTCCTGTCATGTCTGTGCTCAAATTTAACATTAAAGTGAACATTTGGAGGGAGTTGTATGTAGCTTTATGGGATAGTATTTTTTAGACTTATAGGTCTATGTATTATACATATCTATGATGGCTAATGATCGTAATGCTCCAACACCATGGCACATTTACCCAAAATTCATCACAACATGATGTCATCTTCACATTCCCTATTGGTTTGCCATGAAATTTGCTACACACATTCATGTTGCCCTCACATGACAAATTCTAATTACTTAGACAAACTTTATCATGCTAACATGCTCTACGCAAATGGTAAATAGGTAACCATCAGCATGTTAGCAAATCACTGTTAGCATGTTAGCATTGTTGTGCCAGAGTACTGCCTCACAATGCAGTTAACTGAGCTCATAGCCATTAATTTGCAAATGTAATCCAAAGCTTGAATGTAGCATGCTTTTAAAAGTGCGTTATATAATGGCTGTCTTTATTATAGTAAATGTAGCATAGTAACAGTATATTTTAGGTTAATAACAGAGGCCCCTTGTCCTCCTCTTCTCACCTTCCTCAGCCCTCAAATATTTTTATGTTACTCAGACCTCTATTGTCCTCACCTGTCCTCTCTCCTTTCTGTCACAGCCAAAACAAGTCGTTGATGGCTAATAGATTTAGCCACTATCCTGGTGGAGAGACAATGAGAGAACCATCAATTTATCCACCGTTTAACTGCTCCAATCTAACCTCCATAAACGCACCCAGTGAAACTCATTTCTGTGTTTCCTCGCCAATCTGGAAAGCTATCATCTAGCTAATCTTGGGCTTTCAATTCGCCAGGGGGAAGGGGGAGTCAGACCAATCCCGGATCTCAGAGATGATCTGTTAGCCCAGTGTAAATGTTTATAACACAGGGAAATCTCCAAGGTTTATACATTGATGCACATGCACATGTGCACATCCAGTCATACACACACACACACACGCACACGTTACTTTTCCTTTTTTCCTTTCTGTGTCTTTCTCTCTCCGGGGCATTTACAGGGATGTGAAAGCTGTTATTGGGCAGGTCAGTGGAGTGGAACTGTCAGATAATAGGCTAGTTACTGTGGCAGCACATGAATGAGGGATGGAACAGAGGATGGAGACAGAGGGAATAGAAACGCTCAACTCACTCCTTAATCAGAAGGTAAACTGGAAATCTGGAGAGTTTAGACTCCCTGCTGAAGGGGGGTGGGGGGTGGAGCGGGTAAGAAAAGTAAATGAGTGAGTGAGCGAGATAGTAGACGACAAAGGGAAGAGGACAGAGGAAATCTGAATGGGCATGGAGCAGAGATGAAGAGAGAAAGAGAGCTTATTACTATTCCCAG